TGACCCTGGGGCCTCTTGGTTGCTGAGACCAGCGGCTCCTCAGCTGAGATGTTCTTTTACCGCACACCCATCTCCTTTTATTAAATACATTTGATTTTAACCTTTTGATCAGCGATGACCTCTGTCCGTCCGGCGTTTGTTCATTTTTGAACACAACAGTTGCTATGGTGATTTAGACAAACCTGCTTCGGGGAACCGAAAAGCCTGATCTAAGTCATCTCATCCTGAAATTGATCTGGTTAACTCAGTTAACCACGTACGAGGAACAGGGCCCAGGAGACAGGTGAGTGACAACAAAGCCGGCATGCAGCATAGGGCTGAGTCTACGGACAATGACAGAAACATAAACACATGACGAAATAAACAAACCGGGGGAAACACGTGGCACAACGCAACACACAGCGATCACATGGAAAAAATGTCTCTTAGACCCCAGGAATCTTAGACTGGTGTAAAAGAGAGAAAAGAGACACACAGGACGTCATTTGTGTGAAAACTTTCACTCTTCACTGATTTCTCTTCTGAAATCAGACTCAGTGACTTCAAGTTAATTATTTCAGTTATTACCACGTGTTAACGTTGCTCACAGTACATTACTTTATGACATGACACATTATGGAAAGTTTCTTGAGTTAAGGCTCCTCTGAGCAGCTCACAGCCTGATAACGTTACTCTCACGTTCCTCCGCCTCTCAGATAGTCCACCGAGATCCAATCAGTGCCTCGATGCTGCAGTTTGTCAGCATTTGTTAAGAAATTGTCGTATTAGGAAAAGCATTTGCCGTCAAAATATCCCCTCCATAGTAAATGAAGCTGCAGTGTGTCTTTATTATGGCCTCTTCCGTCTCACATGCATCACTACGTTATTTAATACAACATTAATAAGACAGTAGAAAACTTGACAAAACCTTTTTTTAGTGAGTGTTTGGGTCACAAAATACTTTCTCTTTTCATCCTGATAGAGAATCAGTGTTGAAGCATTTGAAAGAATGTAAAGTTTATGAGTTCCTATTTTTAAGCACCTGATGAAAGTGTTTTTAATGCAGCGATGAACACGACAGCGTCTTTGTTTCTCTCTGTCGCTTCTATTCAGTCAGGAAATGAAACCAGCTGCAAAACAAATAGGCAAGAAAAGACGTCCTGAATCCTGAATGACAGGTTTGTTTTTGTGTAACTGTTCGATGGATAACAAGTTGAAGCTGTGCTTGGTGAACAGTACAGAACATAAATTGCTTTAGTTTTAGTTCCTTTTATAAAGGGAACCTCATGAGGACTGAGGGGAGATCGTGTGAAAGGAGGAAGTAACAAACGCGTTGTGGTGAAAAACGTACTTGAAGAAGATTCAGGAAACACTTTCAGACTCAGTCTGCTCCGTCCAACTGTCGCTCTACTGTCACTTCACCCTCGACGACATGAACGGTAAGTTCATTTCTTTCACTGTGTTTTGTGTTCGGTGCTGTTTCAGCTGATTCTGTATTTTTATGCTTGTGTTTTTGTTACAATATTCTCTGGTGACTGTTTTAAAGTAAAGTACGAACTACTTTTAATTTTTATTGTAACGTTTAACCAATAACAATATTTATTGTAATTGAGCTAATGTGTATCATATATGAGAACAGACAAAAGGCAAATGTACAATATAATTGATGGACATAATTGTCTTTCAGAGATGAGGATTGTAATGTTGGGAAAAACAGGAGTTGGTAAAAGCAGCGTGGCGAACACCATATTAGGAGAGGACGTGTTTAAGATCGGCCACACTGTCTACCCTGGAACAAGTGAATGTCGATCAGAAACCAGACGTGTCGATGGAAGAGACGTCACCTTGATCGACCCTCCTGGTTTGTTTGACACGGGTCGATCTGAAGAGAAGCTGGAGGCTGAAATAGTGAAGTGCATCACAGAGTGCTCTCCTGGGCCTCATGCTTTTATCATAGTGTTTAAGGTGGAGCCATTCACAGTTCAGGAGCAGGAAGTGATCAATAAAATCATCGAATACTTCTCTGAAGAAGCTTTCAAGTATGCAACAGTCCTCTTTACTCATGGTAACCAGCTGGATGAAGGAGAGACCATTGAGGAATATTTCCACAACAATCATCTTGTGAGTGATCTGGTGGAGAAGTGTGGAGGCCGCTGCCACGTCATTGATAACAAATACTGGAAGAACAACCAGCCGGATGATTACAGGAGCAACCAGTTCCAAGTGAAGCAGCTGATGAAGACCATCGATCACATGATTCAGGCAAACAAGGGAAGCTGCTTCACCAACGAGATGCTACAAGCTGTGGAGAAACTGAGACAAGAGGAGGAGGAAAAGATCAGACAGTCACCAGGAAACAAGACAGAGGAAGAGATCAGAGAGGAGGCTAAAAAGAGAGCATTTGGACAGTGTGGAATCTTATGAACAAACTGACAACCCGGTTCATAAATTAATAAAATGCATTTATTGTACACTAGGATAAAGCTATAATTCTGAAACTCTTTATAAAAAACCTTTTTATTACAACTCGATTTGAACGTCGAGTTTCTTCATTTTTGAACACAACAAATGCTTTGATTTGGCGAGTATTGCAACAGGTGTTTTGTTAGGAGTTCTTTTCTCTTTTCTTGCGGCGTCCTGGTGGTTGTAGGAGGTATCAAAGTTTTACAGCAATCCCTGTCTCAAGAAAAAGTCCAAAGAGTTTCAGCAGCAGGAGCAGCTGGAATACCAGCAGGCTCAATGATGGCCTGAGGAGAAGCAATCAAGGGAAGTTTTAAAGGATAGGATGCCGCTAAGGAAGCAGACACACCAAGTGAAGCAGCAAAGAGGGAAGCAAAAGCTGTCTTTAATCAATAACCACAAATGTGAATAACAGCCTTTAATTGGCCCTGATTCTTAAAGATGGGAGTGTGTCATTAAAGATGTCCCACCTTCCTTTAAAAAACATGGAATCTTTGACCATTGAGAAGCGTGTTGCAACAGCTACAGGGCAAAGTGCTTCCTAACTAAATAAAAGTTCAATCTTTTCCTATTTGTGCCTGATATGTTGTTTCTTATATGTATTATCAACTGTGGCCACAAACCACAAATATAATGTTGTTTCAACATCGAGAAGATCTCTAGAAAATACACGCAGACACACACACAGGAAGTGAAGGTAAGACTTGTGTAAAAGGAGAGAAAAGAGACACACAGGACGTCATTTTTGTGTGAAAACTTTCACTCTTTACTGATTTCTCTTCTGAAATCAGACTCAGTAACTTCAAGTTAATTATTTCAGTTATTACTACGTGTTAACGTTGCTCACAGTACATTACTTTATGACATGACACATTATGGAAAGTTATGAACTAATTATAGCATTGCGGCAATAATAATAATATATTGTATTATAATTGATATATTTATAAATATTTAATATATTTATTTTGTGGGGGGTCAACTGGTCAGTCAGTGTTTCTGAGATTGGAGTGAAACAAGGAGGAAAGTTGATGTCTTGATCTTCCCAATAAAGCATCTTTGATGTGACGTAACGTTTGGAGCCAATCAGCGTTATATATATATATATTAAGGCTGTCAATAGATTTAAAAAAATTGATTCATTAATCGCACATTTTTAATCTCAATTAATGGAGATTAATGAATGTTGTTTTTAATGAATGTTTGTTTTTCTTCTAAAGACTACATCTTAAAAGTAATGAGTACTTTAGAAAGTGTATATTTTAGACACTGTTGTTTAATTGTTACTGTTATTTTAAACACCAAACTACACAAATTTGATCATCTTGGAGGCAGAATTCCAACTGGTGGAACATGTTGAACTACAGAGCCTACTACGGCGGCAAATCACTGTCAAAAGTCAAGAGCGCAAATCATGTTGATGCGCGCACGTAAATCAAACATCTGCGAGCAAAAGTCCGTCCCGCGCGAGATATTTGCTCGCTCGCGGAGCGACTGATAGCGACTAACTTAACTCAGTTCCCTCCTCCCCTCCGGGAGGCACTACAGGGCTCTCTGTTCCCGGACCAGCAGCTTCTTCGCTGCTGAACTCTGCCCCACTCTGCTCGCGCTTGAAGGTGTTTTCTACGATCTCACTGTTTTTCTTTATGACAGTAAGGGGGCGGAGCCAGTCACCATGGTATCTACACCTGATTGGTTACAAACCCCGTCTTTGGATTGGCTGGAGTGATGCATTCACACAACTATAGAAGCCCATTTCCGCACTAATGTAAGGGGATAAAAAGTTCTGAGATAAAACGTTGTCGAAAAACAAACGTAATCGTAGTGGACCGTAGATGACAACCAGCTACAACCATCATTTACCATCATTACCGGCACATTAAGAGCAATGCGTCCAGCTCGCAGACCGGTCCGTATTGGTAAAATGAAGTCTGAATCTGTCAATATCTTGCCAACTTTCAATGCCAATCGATCAGGGAACTCTCATTCTAATAATCCCTCTTTACTGACATTGTAAACAAGTAAAAAGAGACTTGATGTCCTGAATGGTTTTGTGCAACTGCTAGATGGATAACAAGTTGGTGAACAGTACAGAACATAAATTGCTTTAATTTAATTAGTTCCTTTTAAAAAGGGAACCTCATGAGGACTGAGGGGAGATCACGTCTAAAGGAGGAAGTAACAAAGGTGTTGTTGTGAAAAACGTACTCCGAGAACAAGATTCAGGAAACACTTTCAGACTCAGTCTGCTCCGTCCAACTGTCTCTCTACTGTCACTTCACCCTAAGAAAATCAGTGACACTAACTTCATCATTCAAACTGATTGCAGACGCAAAAACAGATTGTTTCACGTGAATATGATGAGGTCACATTTTGCAGCAGAAAATGGAAGTGGAACGTCAGGAGTTCCCGAGATAAAATACTGTATACTGTATACTCTGATGATTGGAACTCTCACATGGCTACCTTGAGGGACGTTTTCAAACATCTAGCTGGTGCGTCGCTGACTCTCAAGCTCTCTAAATGTGAATTTTGGAGAGGTTCTCTTTTGTGTCTTGGTCAGCAAGTTGGTCGAGGCCAGGTGTGTCGTGCGGATGCAAAGATCACAGCAATTGCTGCATTTCCTGTGCCAACCACTAGGCGGGAGTTACGACGGTTTCTTGGGATGGCTGGGTACTGCCGCAAGTTTTGCAAAAACTTTTCTAACGTGGCAGCCCCATTGACAGTGTAATATAGATTTTTAATTTAGATTTATTTTTATAACCATTGTTTTCGGTCGTCCGACCCTGCTGTAATGTTTAATTGTGTAGGGTCAAAGATGACCAGCAGGTGTCACCATCTCACCACTAGGGGGGTGGTGTCTGTGCATCGTACATGCGCTTCCGTGGGAAAGAAGAAGAAGAACGACTGTCCATTAAAACGGTTTACTTTTATATGTATTTAAGGTGTCTGCTGCTGTTCTTCTTCTTCTGACACACCACATATTTGGCGAGCTAGCCAGGAGGAAGGTGTCTTCGAGCAGCATTTCCATCTTTCCCCCAAGAAGAACCTAGAAAAATAACAACACCAACTGAACTGCAGTGTCACCATGGAATCTGAGGCGCTTCTGGACAGAACCAGCTCAACTCTGACCAAACTAAGCTGGGACCAGGTAGTAAAAGTCTGCATACACCTTGACTGTATCGAGGAAGAGGACGAGACCATAAACAATAGAAGTCGACGAGCACTGATCAAGTTAGTAGAGAAGAAACTGGATGCTAATGAACAGGATGGGGACGTTGAAGAAGCATGTCAGATGATGCGAGATCTTTTGGACTTCACGGGAACAATGGTTGAGAGTGATGGGGAGCGGACAGAGCAGGAACTTCTCCGTATATGGAAGATCAAGGGAAAATACGCAGAGCGGCAGAGGTCCCAAGAACTGTCACGTCAAGGAACCAGTGTATGTGTGCATCGATAACTTTATCATGTTTGTGTTCTTAGGTTTGATTTTTATTTCAGTGGCACTTCCCCGTTTTCTACATCTTTTAGTTGAAGAATAGTTGGTTTCCTGTGCATTTCAATGTCACAACTACAAACGACAAATCGAATGACTCAAATCACTTTATTTAGAGATTTAAATAAAGTGACATGCTGCACACTAGAGGATGGATACCAGACACTAACAGCCTACATTGTAGAGGGCGACATCGTACGGCCAGCAGGTGAGCTGACACGACCTGTGACCTGATAGCTCGATTGATTTGGTTGATTCCACGGCACCGTTCAGGGCGTTCACCTTGTAAACAAAAGCCCCCCCCCCTTAATGAATCATAAATGATGAGCAGATCTCAGGCCTGTGTGTCTGATTGTATCAGACTGTAGAGCTCAATCACTTTATAAAGACATCCTCGGTTTGGACACTAGAGGACACCAACGTCCCAGAGTTCTGCACATCTTCAGCTGGAACGACCACTTCTTCCGTGTCAGCACGAGGGACTTGTCGAAGTTTGATCAGAAATGCTTCCATTTCCCGTAAAGGCTCCTCTGAGCAGCTCACAGCCTGATCACGTCGCTCTCACGTTCCTCCGCCTCTCAGATAGTCCGCCGAGATCCAATCAGCAGCTCGATGCTGCAGTTTCTCAGCATTTGTTAAGAAATTGTCATATTAAGAAAAGCATTTGCCATCAATATAGAAAGTAAATGAAGCTGCAGTAGGAAACTGCAAATGTGTGTCTTTATTATGGGCTCTTCAGTCTCACATGCATCACTACGTTATTTAATACAACATTAATAAGAGAGCAGGAAAATAGTTTTATCATAAAAACAACAAACTTCACATTCATAGTGATTCTCTTCTCTAATTGACTTTCAGTGGAATACGTGACCATCGTCGACACGTGACCTCTTCTGCTGGACGTTCAGCTTCGCCTGCACCCTGCTGGTGCTGCTGGTGGAGCTGTTCGGCCTGCAGGCCCGGGCCCCCGTGTCCTGGACCAACTTCACCGTCAACAACCCCATCACCGTCGCCTGCTACGCCTGCCTCCTCTGCATGGTATGCAGATGGTCCAGATTCAGCCCACTTCGACTGAACGCGGGCCAGACCATTACGGTGGGGGGGTGGGGGTGTTGGTGCTGGCGGTCCGACCGGCGAACACCCGGCCGCCGCGGGGGTACGCCAAAGTCGGTACCCCCCCGGCGGGTCTCACCGGATGCGCCAGTGGCCCAGATTTGGCCCGCGGGCCGGAGTTTGAGACGCCTGTGATAGAGAATCAGTGTTGAAGCATTTGAAAGGATGTAAAGTTTAGGAGTTTCTCTTTTTAAGCACCTGATGAAAGTGTTTTCAATGCAGCGATGAACACGACAGCGTCTTTGTTTCTCTCTGTCGCTTCTATTCAGTCAGGAAATTAAATCAGCTGCAAAGAAACAGACAAGACGTCCTTTGTTTTGTGTAACTGCTAGATGGATAACAAGTTGAAGCTGTGCTTGGTGAACAGTACAGAACATAAATTTCTTTAGTTGAATTAGTTCCTTTTAAAAAGGGAATCTCATGAGGACTGAGGGGAGATCACGTGAAAGGAGGAAGTAACAAACGTGTTCAAACACCATCAACCTTCCTGGTTTTGGTTTTAGAGGCTTTCTCTGGTCACGTTCACTCATCCTAAACGTATGCACGGTGAAAACCTCAGAAAGGTCAAACTGAGGTCGGTTTCCTGCCTACGTGAGGGGGGGTCAGCTCACACAGTTCGAGCTCAGTTATTAATCGAACATCTGTCAGTATTAAAGTGTCCAACATCTCGAAGCCATCTTGTGTTTGTAACTCTAACAACGGGCTTTATTTCTAATCTGAAAAAAGACTTTTTGTTTGCTGGATTGTCTTCCTGCAGACGTGCGTTGGTTTGGACACTAAAGGACACCAACGTCCCAGAGTTCTGCACATCTTCAGCTGGAACGACCACTTCTTCCGTGTCAGCACGAGGGACTTTACAGCTCGTCGAAGTTTCATCAGAAATGCTTCCATTTCCCGTAAAGGCTCCTCTGAGCAGCTCACAGCCTGATCACGTCGCTCTCACGTTCCTCCGCCTCTCAGATAGTCCGCCGAGATCCAATCAGCAGCTCGATGCTGGAGTTTCTCAGCATTTGTCATCGAAATGCAAATGCGTTCATATACAATTTAGAAAAACATTTGACATCAATATAGCAAGTAAAGGAAGCTGCTGGAAAAGTGTGTCTTTATTTTGGGCTCTTCAGTCTCGCATGCATCACTACATAATTTAATACAGCATTAATAAACGATCGCCGCGGCGGTGCTCACCGCCCTCAACTTGCTGCTCTACCTCGCCGACCTGGCCTACACCGCCCGACTGGTGTTTGTCAGCGCCTGAGGGGGCGCGGGGAGAGGAAGGAGCGCCGGCGCTTGCAGACAAAGAGGTCAGGAGGTCGAAGGGCTTCACAGAGAAGCGTCACGTGACTGATTGTAGAATCCAAATGAGATCTGCTGTCGATGGAGGAAAGAAAAGTCTCAAAGTCACTCACGGTGTGTGTGTGTGTATCTGCAGGGTTTCACCTCCAGTGTGAACGGACCTGTGAAAAACACCAGAACAACAGGAAGGACGTGGAAGGCGTCCGTCAGTGTCAGTTAGAATCCATGAAGTCGTCACACTGGAACACAAGGACACGCGTTAAATTGTATTTCACATTAAGACATTGAGGCGCCCTGGATGTTCTCTTCCTGCCCTGTTTTCCCTTTTGTTTCATATTTATTCTCCTTATTACAGTCATACAGCCAGTGTTCTGCACATCTTAAGTAAAGGGGTCAAATGGGTGGTTTACATGTTGTACCTCGTCATTTACAAGTGCCTTCCTCATTCCCAGTGTTGTGAAAATAAATGTTATCGACCTTACAAAACCTTTTTTTAGTGAGTGTTTGGTTCACAAAATACTTTTTTTTGATACTGTGGCAACCCAGGGGGAAGGAGGCCAGCTCCCTCCATAAAATAAGCGTCTCGGAGGCAGGAAGTTGTTGTATTCAAAAATGAAGAAACGCCGGACGGACAGAGGTCATCGCTGATCAAAAGGTTAAAATCAAATGTATTTAATAAAGGAGATGGCGTTGCGGTAAAAAGAACATCTCAGCTGAGGAGCCGCTGGTCTCAGCGACCAACAGGCCCCAGGTCAGTCCTTTTGACCATCCCTAGTGCCCGTCTGTCGCCTCCACCAGCGAACTCCAGAACAATGGTTACTACAGGTATTTATAACAATGCTTAAAGGTGTGAAAGTCAGTGTCCACACCTCTGGGAGTGGTCTTCTGGTGAGTTCAATGTAACTCGGATTTCGAATGACCCTTAGTCAATATCTGTTGTCATTCAAGTATTACATGCATGCATTCCAGTTGATTACATTACATCAAATACAATCATAACTGCATTGGTATTATTCTATTACAGTTGCAGAATTACAGTGGTTTTACAATATTGTCATTACTTTATTGATTACACAGTTTCAGAATCATGGCTGTATATCAGTTTCTTTTTTGAAGCACGTGATAAAAGTGTTTTTAATGCAGCGATGAACACGACAGCGTCTTTGTTTCTGCCGCTTCTATTCAGTCAGGAAATGAAACCAGCTGCAAACAAATAGACAAGAAAAGACGTCCTGAATAACAGGTTTGTTTTGTGTAACTGTTAGATAACAAGTTGAAGCTGTGCTTGGTGAACAGTACAGAACATAAATTGCTTTAGTTGAATTAGTTCCTTTTAAAAAGGGAACCTCATGAGGACTGAGGGGAGATCATGTGAAAGGAGGAAGTGACAAATGTGTTGTGGTGAAAAACATACTTACAAGAGAAGATTCAGTAAACACTTTCAAACTCAGTCTGCTCCGTCCAACTGTCGCTCTACTGTCACTTCACCCTCGACGACACGAACGGTAAGTTCATTTCTTTCACTGTGTTTTGTGTTCAGTGCGGTTACAGCTGATTCTGTATTTTTATGCTTGTGGGGCTTTTTTTTGTTACATTATTCTCTTCTGATAATGACTGTTTTACAGTAAAATACTAACTGCTTTCAATGTTCAACTTTTGACCAATAACAATATTTATTGTAATTGAGCTGATATTGAAATTCTCTTTCAGAGATGAGAATTGTAATATTAGGAAAAACAGGAGTTGGGAAAAGCAGCCTGGCGAACACCATATTAGGAGAGGAACTGTTCCAGACCGGCTTCAATGGCGTCTCTGCAACAAGTGAATGTCAATCAGAAACCAGACGTGTCGATGGAAGAGACGTCACCTTGATCGACACTCCTGGTTTGTTCGACACGGGTCGACCTGAAGAGGAGCTGAAGGCTGCAATAGTGAAGTGCATCACAGAGTGCTCTCCTGGGCCTCATGCTTTTATCATAGTGTTTAAGGTGGAGAGATTCACAGATCAGGAGCAGGAAGTGATCAATAAAATAAACCATACTTCTCTGAAGAAGCTTTCAAGTATGCAACAGTCCTCTTTACTCATGGTGACCAGCTGGAGGAAGGACAAACCATTGAGGAATATTTCCACAACAATCATCTTGTTAGTGATCTGATAAAGAAGTGTGGAGGCCGCTGCCACGTCGTTGATAACAAATACTGGAAGAACAACCAGCCGGATGATTACAGGAGCAACCAGTTCCAAGTGAAGCAGCTGATGAAGACCATCGATCACATGATTGAGGCAAACAAGGGAAGCTGCTTCACCAACGAGATGCTACAAGCTGTGGAGAAACTGAGACTAGAGGAGGAGGAAAAGATCAGACAGTCATCAGGAAACATGACAGAGGATGAGATCAGAGAGGAGGCTAAAAAGAAAAGGCGTTTGAATAAATTTGCAGATGTTACAACATTTGCAACGGTAGGAGTTCTTTTTGGTGGTGTCCTGGGCGTTGGAGGAGCATCAGTAGGACTAGCAGCATTCTTAGGGATGGTGGCAGGTGCTTTAGCAGCAGCGATCCTAAAGAGGGTACAGTGCCGCTAAGGAAGCTCACACAGCACAGGAGTCCCCAACGAGTGAAGCAACCTCTATCTGGAATGATCAGGAAAAAACAGCAAAGAACAAATCTGAATCAAAACCTTTAATTGGCTTTGATTCTTAGAATGTGTCATTAAACCTTTCTGACAGACTTTTCGGGTAATTACGCCCGATGAGAAGGCCCCTCCCCCAATTCGCTAAGAAATACATTTTCTTCATAAATTATGTTATGTTTTCATTACATTTCATTCTCAATACATCCCTGGGTGGGCTTGAACCAACAACCTTTCAGTTAACAGCCAAACACACTGATCAATTAGGCCACAGAGACCTTTCTGACAGACTTTTGGGGTAATTAGGCGCAATGGCAAGGCCCCTCCCCCAATTAGTTTAGAAATAAAGAGTCTTCATAAATTATGTTACGTCTGCATTTGTCCCACCTCCTTTAAACAACATGGAATCTTTAACCATTGATGGTGTTCGTATGTAACAGGTTGAACTTCTTGCGTGAGCTTTCTTCTATTTTCTGACTCTTTTCTAAAGCGTGTTGCAACAGCTGCAGAGCAAAGTGCTTCCTGACTAAATTAAAGTTCAATCTTTTCTTATTTTTAGTGCCTGATATGTTGTTTCTTATGTGTATTATCAACTGTGGCCACAAACCACAAATATAATGTTGTTTCAACATCTTGCACCAACAAGATCTTTAGAAAATGTTCTAATCAAACTTGCGTTGAAATGTGTCAGCAAGACAAATAAAAACAACGAACAAATTGAAGCCTGTGAAAGATATTTTTATTTTGCAGAGCAAACTTCCCTCCCCAACACACACACACACACACACACACACACACACACACACACACACACACACACACACACACACACACACACACACACACACACAGAGGAAGTGAAGGTAACACTTGTGTAAAAGGAGAGAAAAGAGACACACAGGACGTCGTAACATGAACTCATGCAACACAGAGTTATTAATCATATTTAGTAGATCTTTGGTACAGTGAATGTAGTCCATCTTGACTTTAACTGTCTGTGGACTTTGGACTTGAACTTGGTGACTAACCTAACTAGAGAATATGTACAGTATGAAATGTACATGGAGCAGTATATATAAATACGAGATGTATCCAGTATTAGCAGCAGGGTTGTAAATATGAACGTCTTGGTATTGCAAATATATCATTGAAGTGCAAAATGCTCAGTGGCTGGAAGGACTTGCGTGGCCATCCAGGGTGGATGGAGGTGCGGGGGGGGGTAAGGTCATTGTAGAGGTGTGGGGGGCTGTTGGCTGTCATCGTGGTGCGAGTTCAGCAAGGTGACAGCGGCAGGGAAGAAACTGTTCCTGAATGTGACGTCCCCTTTAGGGGATTATCAGATCAGAAGATCAACAACTTAATAAAGAACTCTTCAGTTTGGACACTACGGGGCACCAACGTCCCAGAGTTCTGCACATCTTCAGCTGGAAGGGAACGACCACTTCTTCTGTCAGCACGAGGGACTTGGAAGTTTGATCAGAAATGCTTCCATTTCCCGTAAAGGCTCCTCTGAGCAGCTCACAGCCTGATCACGTCGCTCTCACGTTCCTCCGCCTCTCAGATAGTCCGCCGAGATCAGCAGCTGCATTTGTCATTGCAAATGCAAATGCATTTATATACAATTTAGAAAAACATTTGACATCAATATAGCAAGTAAATGAAGCTGCAGGAAATGTGTGTCTTTATTATGGGCTCTTCGGTCTCGCATGTATCACTACGTTATTTATTACAACATTAATAAGAGCGCAGGAAAATAGTTTAATCATAAAAACAACAAACATTCATAGTGATTCTCCCGGCCGACGGGGCGTACGCCAAAGTCGGTATCCCCCGGCGGGTCGCACCGGACGCCCCTGCGGCCGAGATTTGGCCTGTGGGCCGGAGTTTGAGACCCGTGTGATAGAGAATCCGTGTTGAAGCATTTGAGAGAATGTAAAGTTTATGAGTTTATGTTTCTCTTTTAAAGCACCTGATGAAAGTATTTTTAATGCAGCAATGAACACGACAGTGTCTTTGTTTCTCTCTGTCGCTTCTATTCAGTCACAAATGAAACCAGCTGAAAGCAAATAGACAAGAAAAGAATCACACGTTTGTTTTTTTGCAATTGTTAGATGGATAACAAGTTGAAGCTGCTCCAACAGGTTGGTGAACAGTACAGTACATAAATTGCTTTAATTGAATTAGTTCCTTTTAAAAAGGAAACCTCATGTAGGACTGAGGGGAGATCATGTTAAAGTAACAAACGTGTTGAAACACCTTCAATCTGTGTGGTTGTGGTTTTAGAGGCTTTCTCTAGTCACGTTCACTCATCCAAAACGTATGCACGTGATCTGCAGTGACGCCTGAAATATGGAAAGTATCAAACCTCAGAAAGGTCAAACCGAGGTCTGGTTTCCTGCCTACGTGAGGGGGGGTCAGCTCACAGAGTTTGAGTTCAGTTATTAACCGAACATCTGTCAGTCATAACGACGTGGCAAAATTTGAATCTTGTCATCTTGTGTTTGTAACTCTAATGTAATATAGATGTATTTTTAGGTTGTTTTATCACCATTGTTTTCTCTGACTAGTTTTATGCTGTAATGTAATTATGTAGAGTGAAAGATGACCAGCAGATGTCGCCATCTCACCACTAGGGGGGGGGGGTCTGTGCATCGTCTCAGAAGAACGGCTGACGGGAGACTAACGTTGCATAGACACTATTAAAACTGTTTACTTGTACATGTATTAAAGGTGCACCAACGTCCCAGAGTTCTGCACATCTTCAGCTGGAAGGGGAATGACCACTTCTTCCGTGTCTGTTGTGAGTGTGGAGGAGAGAGGACCCAAACGCCAGGGCAGGTAAAGTCTGTTTTAATCAACTTAGAATGTCCAAGGCAAAAGGAAACTAAAGTAGCCACAAGGTGGTCTCAAAAACAAAATGGCACTAAAGGCTTAACAGAAGGTGCGGGCGCTGGGCCGGCTACGGAGAATGCCGGTGGGTGCAGGGACGAATTCCAGGGCGAGGGAAGAGCGCTCCAGTCAGCAGGCCACCCGCGTCAAACAGGAGACTGGGTGGAACAGAGGTTAGGACAAGGATAACAAAGTACAACACAAACCGTCAGGACACGACAAGGCAGGATATACGGGACATCACAGGTACGTCGGGTGCATAGTTAATACTCTGGCAGAGAACAAGGGGAAGAGGCAGGCTAGAAAGAGAGTCTAATTGCAGAAGGTAGGAACAGGTGAGGGGAAGAGAGGATGACGAGATGAGAAGCAGCTGGGAATGAATGAGCAGGTCTGCACCATGGAAGCTCAGTCGTTAGCCGCTGTAGTTACCCAGCCCACCCCCGTAGCCGGTGCGGGCCACATAGACGTAGCGTTCGCTCCTGCTAGCCGTCCCCCGGCAACCCCCGAGCAGCCGGGAGGCTGGGTGACTGTCCGGAGTAAGCATAAGTCTAAGTCGAAGCACACGGTTAACCACCAACCACTTCACATTTCAAACCGCTTCTCCCCACTCGGCGACACACCCGCTGAGAAGCCAACTCTGGTGATAGGTAGCTCCATTCTGAGGAACGTGAAGTTAGCGAAACCAGGGACCATAGTTACATGTATATCGGGGCCCAGAGCGGGCAACATTGAGTCTTATCTTAAACTGCTGGCTAAGGATAAACGTAAATACAGTAAGATTGTAATACATGTCGGCGGTAATGACTCACGATTACGTTGCTCGGAGGTCACTAAAGTTAATGTGGAAGTTAATTCATGAACTTCTTCAATGATAAGATTCTGACTATCAAAGAGAAAATTGATGGTCTCCTGCCTTCAACCAGTGCCGACCTGTCCTCAGATGTAGGAACCTTGGATGCAGCAGTGGGCCTTCCCTTCCTCTCTAAGATCCTTGAGAAATCCATCGCAAATCAATTATGTGACTTTCTATAAAACAATGCTTTGTTCGAGGATTTCCAGTCAGGATTTCGAGGACATCATAGTACAGAAACAGCACTGGTGAAAATGATGAATGATCTTCTACTTGCATCGGACCAAGGACTCATCTCTTTTCTTGTCTTGCTGGACCTCAGTGCCGTATTTGATACCATAGACCATTGTATCCTGTTGCAGAGACTAAAACATTTAATTGGTATCAAAGGAACTGCACTCAGCTGGTTTAAATCCTACTTATCGGATCGATCCCAGAACATCCAAGATGGCGCCGATGATGGCTGCCACGGTGCTTCGGTGCGCTTCGTTTTTTGTTGGTTTTGTTGGTTTTGATTCCCGGAGCTCTTTCACCAGAGATGAGCTCTTGAACATCCGTGGAACAACTCCAGCGGAGATACTTCTGTCAGGATCTCCAATCCCCCCGTGTTGGTTGATGAGAAGTCAAAAGTTAACATTTATTTAGAAGAGAAAAAGATGACATGAGCAATTCTCCGCAGATATCTGGCTCTAACTATTGCTTGCAAGCAGGAGGCCCAACACAGCAGCACGTATCTCAGCGCTCGGCGTAATGACGTCTCCGAGCAGTAAAAACGCAGAGTTTTTATACACATGTGAAGGACATTCTCTGTGCCAGCTACGAGAAGCGAGAAGCTAGCGAGTAGGCCAACCAACGACCGTCCGGTTAAACCGACTCACATAATAGAGTCGGTTGTCCCATCACTATCGTGCTGCACTGGGACACTCTGACCACGTCATGGTCCATCTGATTCCTGCATACAGGCAGAAACTAAAGCTCTTCAAACCTGTGGTGAGGGAATTCAAGAAGTGGACCAGTGAGGCGCTGGAGGATCTTCGGGCGTGCTTTGACTGCACAGACTGGGATGTTTTCAGTACTGCTACTGACAGTCTGGATGAGTTCACAGAGGCTGTAACTTCCTACATCGGCTTCTGTGAGGACAGCTGTGTACCATCACAGTGAGTTACAACAACGACAAACCCTGGTTCACAGCGGAACTCAGAACACTACGCCTGCAGAAGGATCAGGCATTTACAGGGGTGCAAACTTGTCACCTTTCGGCGAAATTCGTGTTTTTTTTTTTTCAAAATAGGTCATTTGTGTGATTCATGTAGATCTGCAATAAAAATATTTCTTTTTGGGGGGGGGGGTCCGGTCCGGTCTGGCGCATTTCCACCGAGCGGTACGGTACGGGTCGGGTCTGTTAACCATGATTTGGCGAGCGTTTCCACCGCCAACAGTACCCTTACTTGATAGACGTGGTGTATTCCAGAAAGTAGTGATATCGTCACTTGATATGCGTGGTATATGACGGAAAGTAGATTTACATCATTCGATCGCAGTAATCTGCGAACGCAAGCTGTCATCAATATTTTTTTCAAGATTGTTCGTTTGGCCAACTCGTGTCATCATGTCATCTTCGGGTCTATAGCTGCTTAGATGCCGTAATAGACAGGAGTGACGTTGGTACGCTGCAAGAACGTCAGTCTTTCTAACGTCTATATTAAACCCTATTTGAAACTGTTGACAGACTGACCAACCCCCCAACACAAATACCACCTGAACTCCATTCCACACAGAAATGCAACGAGTTTGCGTTCTTTTATACTGATAAAATTGAAGGCATCAGACGCGCCATTAATATCTCAAACAAAAATGTTGGATCACCACCCTATTTTGGCAAAAGTAACACAGCAATGATGACAAGCTTTAATGCCATACTCTCAAACTCTAGTGGAAACGGTGACACATTTAAAACCATCCACCTGCTGTCTTGATGCTCTACCTACCAACTTCTTTAAGAATGTTTTTGACTGCCTAGCAACAGACATATTGCAAATAGTTAATAACTCATTTCCTGTATTCAGACAGGGCATTTCCTAAAAGCTTTCAAAACTGCAGTTATTAAACCTCTCCTAAAAAAGCGGAGCCTAGATGCCTCTATTATCAACAACTACAGACCAATTTCAAATCTACCTTTCATAAGTAAAATAATTGAGAAAGTTGTCCTACAACAACTTAATCACTTCCTGGCTTGTAAATGACATCCGTCTTAACACAGACTCTGGCAAAACTTAAAACAATATTAATGCGATTAGACCTCAGTGCTGCATTTGATACTGTCGACCACTCAATACTTTTGGACAGGTTGTAAAACTGGGTGGGGCTCTCAGGCACAGTCTTAAGCTGGTTCAGGTCATATCTACAAGACAGTAACTATTTTGTTTCCATTGGTGACTTCGTATCAGAAACAGCCGACGTAACGTGTGGAGTCCCCCAAGGTTCGATCTTAGGGCCGACTTTATTCAACATCTACATGCTCCCACTAGGACAAATCATGCAAAGAAATAAAACTGACCACCATTGCTACGCTGATGACACCCAAATCTATGTAGCGCTATTACCAAACGACTATCGCCCCAGATCTTCTGTGCCAGTGCATTGAGCAAATCAAAGACTGGATATGTCAAAATTTCCTACAACTAAATGAAGACAAAATTGAGATCATTGTATTTGGTGCTAAAAAAGAAAGGTTTAAAGTAACCCAACACCTTCACTCTCTGTCCCTGAAAACATCAAATAAAGCCAGAAATCTGGGGGTTATTATGGATTCAGATTTACACTTGGAGAGTCACATCAAATCAGTAACAAAATCAACCTACTACCACCTCAAAAATGTAGCACGACTTAGAAGGCTCATGTCAGCTCAAGACATAGAAACACTTGTACATGCCTTTATAACTAGTAGGCTAGACTATTGTAATGGTCTCCTTGCAGGTCTTCCAAAAAAACCTGTCAGGCAGCTCCAGCTTGTTCAGAACGCTGCTGCTAGAGTTCTAACAAAGACCAAAAAATGTGAGCACATTACACCAATTCTTAAATCTTACACTGGCTCCCAGTATGTCAGAGAATTAATTTCAAAATCCTACTGCTCACATATAAATCACTACATGGTTTAGGGCCAAAGTATATCACTGATATGCTTCCACTACATAAGCCTTCAAGATCACTAAGATCTGACACCAATCTGTTTCCCAGAGTAAATACAAATCATGGGAATACATCATTTAGTTACTACGCAACAAACAGCTGGAATAAACTTCCTGAAGATTTAAGACTTGCCCCAACTCTGACCACAAGACTGAAAACTTTTATGTTCAGCTTGGCCTTCTGCTAAATTTTTACCTACATTGCACTTTTAACCTCTGCCTTTAATTAAACAATTTAAATAAGATTTTAATTTATAATTTTATTTTCTGTTTAATTGTCTTTTAATTCCTGCATTTTATTTCACTTTATTGTATGAAATGTTATTGTGAGGGGTCAGGACTTCGACTCAGGTGCAGAGCAATAAGGCAACAGAAAATTCTTTCAAGGTTTGGAATCTTTTACTAGGAGAGTAAACTAATGCAAAACAAAGGGGGCACAGGCAAAGGCGGAATCCACACGCTCTTGTAGAAACAAAAAGGAAGAGAGCCTGGCAACAAAGTAGAAACAAGATTACAAAAACAGCACTGGGAATTTAACAACAAACATGTACCTCTAGGAACGACAAAAGATAACCTGACACAGACAAGTGGGGAACTGAGGCTTAAATACAGGTGGGGGTGATTGCAAACTAAACTCAGCTGTGGGGGGAAACTAGATACAGGAAGTGCCGTGGTTACAAAAATAAAACAGGAAGTTAATCTTCACAGTCTCTTCGAGTCGTCACAGTTATAATGTGAAGCACTTTGAGTCTGCCTTGTGTATGAAAAGTGCTAAACAAATAAAATTTTCTTGCCTTGCCTATATGCCATATAAGCACTATATGCTTCTTTTGGGCGATCTTATCAGGAAACTCCGCATCAACTTCCATTGTTATGCAGACGATACTCAACTGTATCTGTCGATCAAGCCAGAAGAGACGGACCAGCTAGTTAGACTTCAAGAATGTCTTGGAGACATCAAAACTTGGATGACCGGCAACTTCCTGATGCTAATCTCAGAAAAAACAGAAGTTATCTTGATATGCCCAGAGCGCCTTTGAAGCCAGCTGTCACGTGATACAGTTTTTATGGATGGAATTGCACTGGTACCCAGCAGCACCGTCAGGAATCTGGGAGTTCTCTTCGACCAGGATATGACCTTCAACTCGCAAATACAGAAGACTTCAAGGACTGCCTATTTTCATCTACGTAACATATCGAAAATCAGGAACTTCCTGTCTCACAGTGATGCAGAAAAATTAGTTAATGCGTTTGTCACTTCCAGACTGGACTACTGTAATTCTTTGTTATGAGGCTGCTCTTGTAAATCTCTTAAGCCTCTCCAGTTGATTCAGAATGCTGCATGTTCCTATGGTTTTAAAAAGTAGGCTGGGGGCCAGAGCCTTCAGTTATCAAGCTCCCCTTTTGTGGAACCAGGTTCCACTTTGATTCGGTCAGCTCTTTTAAAGTAAAAGTTTCCTCTTTGATTCTGCCTATAGTTAGGGCTGGCTCAGGTTAGCCCGGACTAGCCCTTAGTTAAGCTGCTATAGGCTTAGACTGCATCATTATTATTTTAGATATTAATCATATTACTGTACTCATAAATCAACATTACCCTCTACTAAAGTCGCTGTGCTCTCCCTCCCCACAGGCTTCTGTGGATGGTGGTTCTATCTGATGGTGGTTGCCCCTGCAGTGGTCCTGCTGTGCGCCTGGCTTACTACTCACAATTACTTGAATCATTTCTGTCATAGGAATGCATGTATTATACATTGTTCATTCTGTACACATGACATCCATTGTAGTCTGTCCATCCCGGGAGTGGGATCCCTCCTCTGACATTCTCCCTAAGGTTTCTTCCCTTTTTTCCCCTCTTGGAAGGGTTTTTTCATTTTTTGGGGAGTTTTTCCTGTGCCGGTGGTGGGTTTCGGGACAGAGGATGTCGTATGTGTGCAGACTGTAAAGCCCTCTGAGGCAAATTTGTAATTTGCGATTTTGGGCTATACAAAATAAAATGAATTGAATTGATACCCGGTTCATGATAGTGTCAGCACGAGGGACTTTCCAGCTCGTCAAAGTTTGATCAGAAATGCTTCCAGTTCCCGTAAAGGCTCCTCTGAGCAGCTCACAGCCTGATCACGTTGCTCTCACGTTCCTCCGCCTCTCAGATAGTCCGCCGAGATCCAATCAGCAGCTCGAAGCTGCAGTTTCTCAGGATTTGTTAAGAAATTGTCATATTAAGAAAAGCATTTCAGGAATCAGGAATCAGGAATCAGGAAACTTGTATTAGCCAAAATATGTCAAACATACAAGGAATTTATCTTGGCGGTTGGTGCGCGACAGTAGACAGACAAGACAACAGTGCACAAGTAATAAAATAAAGTGGAATGAAATGCTAATGCAATGGGTTAGTAGAATAAGGCTAAGGCTATGGGTTAGTATAAAACAAGGGAATAAAGTTAAAAAAAATTAAAAATTAAAAAGTTGAGAAAGTTAAGAAAAATATTAAGCATAAAGTGCACTAACGAACAAGTAACAGACAAGAGACAAAGTGACAAGTGACAAAGCAAACGTAATTAACAACAAAAACAACAAAAAACGAAGCGCACCGAAGCACCGTGGCGGCCATCAACGGCGCCATCTATACAGAAAGTAAATGAAGCTGCAGTAGGAAACTGCAAATGTGTGTCTTTATTATGGGCTCTTTAGTCTCACATGCATCACTTCGTCGCCTGCTACGCCTGCCTCCTCTGCCTGTCCCGCTGTTTTTCCTCAAGTACCAGAACTCTTCCGGCGAGGCCCGCGACCATCGCATCGCCGCCACCGTCTTCTCGTGCCTGGCGACGGTGGCCTACATGGGGGAGGTGAGCCTGACCAAAGCGAGGCCGGGGGAGGTGGCCGGTTACATGGCCACGGCCCCGGGCCTGCTGAAGGTGTGCCAGACCTCCGTGCGTGCATCATCTTCTCTGGTCAGCGACCCGTGACTACGACGGCACGCGGTCTCAAGTGGTGCATGGCGTGTACTGCATCTGCTTCATC